AGTGTTTTGAAAATGCTAAAAATACAATTTAAAGTACTTTTAAAAAAAGTATTTAATTTTTTTTTTCTAAATGCCATTTAAATTAAAGAAGACTTTTAATTAAGAAAGAGGCAGAGTTATAATTAAAATGCTTATTTGTTTCTGATGCTTTTTTTTTTTTAATAAATAATTTGTAAAAAAAGTTATAATAATCAAAATATTTTTGAAACTTTTTTAAAAATGCTTAAAAAGTAATTTAAAGGGCTTTTTAAAATAAATGTCTACTGAATCTAATACTTATGCCAAAAACATTCTACAAATTTCAATATTTTAGGTTATCTTTTATAATTATTTATTTATTTTATAAAAAATAATACTATAATTAAACATTATTTTCCACGTGGAATTTCTTTATTTGTTATTTACTTTTTAATATTATTTTCAAAATTCATATTAAATTTCCAAACGAGCTGTGCATTTTTTTTTAAATTTAGCTAAAAATTTAAATGTACTTAAAAAAGAACATCCTTATTCGACTAGTTAGTTTTTTTTTTTTACGTAAACTGAAATAATAATAATAATAATATATATATATATATATAAATAAGGTGGTGCCCAAAAGGCGGTCAGGCGTTAGATTGTACAGAAAAACACCCGCAGGGAATTTCCTCCCTTAGCCAGCGGGGCCCACCAAGACTCAATCCTAACCATACACGTAAGCATCAGACAACTATTCCTGTCCGATCACATGGTCTGTATCTACTGTACAACCGTCTTACAAATGGGCCGTCTGGTCCCCCAGGCCCAGGTCTTGTTGCTTCTGTTTCCCGCCCATAACCACGTGGCAGATATTCTGATAGTGATTGGATCCCCACTGAATCAAGCAATGGGGTCTTGCGCTGATGTGGACCTTCCTTTTGTTATTATTATTATTATTATTTTTGGATAGGTGTGAAATTAACACGTCAGCAATGCCCCCACCTCCCAATCACGGGCCTTTTTCAGCTCCCCTGGCCCAATCATTGCCACCGTCCATAGCCAAGTTGAAGAGCCGCCGTCAACCCGATGCAAATTAAATTTTATGTTTCTTTATTATTATTATTAATTATTAAAATAAAACCGTCCATAGCCAAGTTAAAATTTTCGATGGTGGCATGTTTAACACATGCAAGTCAAATGGGAAGTGGTGTTTCCAATAGCTAGTGAGAAATTTGTAAGAACCTGGAAGAGAGACATGGGGTGAGTAACTCATAAAAACGTACTCCTGGAAGAGGGGTGCTGGTGAGTAACTCGTAAGAATCTAATCTCCCTAACGAGGGAGGGCACGAATCTAATCTCCCTGACGAGGGAGGGCACAGATGGGTAACTTGTAAGAATCTAATCTCCCTTAGGAGGGAGGGCACAGATGGGTAACTCGTAAGAATCTAATCTCCCTTAGGAGGGAGGGCAATCTAATCTCCCTTAGGAGGGAGGGCACAGATGGGTAACTCGTAAGAATCTAATCTCCCTTAGGAGGGAGGGCACAGGTGGGTAACTCGTAAGAATCTAATCTCCCTTAGGAGGGAGGGGGTAACTCGTAAGAATCTAATCTCCCTTAGGAGGGAGGGCACAGGTGGGTAACTCGTAAGAATCTAATCTCCCTTAGGAGGGAGGGCACAGGTGGGTAACTCGTAAGAATCTAATCTCCCTTAGGAGGGAGGTGGGTAACTCGTAAGAATCTAATCTCCCTTAGGAGGGAGGGCACAGGTGGGTAATTCGTAAGAATCTCCCTTGGAAGAGGGGCACAGGTGGGTAACTCGTAAGAATCTCCCTTGGAAGAGGGGCACAGGTGGGTAACTCGTAAGAATCTCCCTTGGAAGAGGGGCACAGGTGGGTAACTCGTAAGAATCTCCCTTGGAAGAGGGGCACAGGTGGGTAACTCGTAAGAATCTCCCTTGGAAGAGGGGCACAGGTGGGTAACTCGTAAGAATCTCCCTTGGAAGAGGGGCACAGGTGGGTAACTCGTAAGAATCTCCCTTGGAAGAGGGGCACAGGTGGGTAACTCGTAAGAATCTCCCTTGGAAGAGGGGCACAGGTGGGTAACTCGTAAGAATCTCCCTTGGAAGAGGGGCACAGGTGGGTAACTCGTAAGAATCTCCCTTGGAAGAGGGGCACAGGTGGGTAACTCGTAAGAATCTCCCTTGGAAGAGGGGCACAGGTGGGTAACTCGTAAGAATCTCCCTTGGAAGAGGGGCACAGGTGGGTAACTCGTAAGAATCTCCCTTGGAAGAGGGGCACAGGTGGGTAACTCGTAAGAATCTCCCTTGGAAGAGGGGCACAGGTGGGTAACTCGTAAGAATCTCCCTTGGAAGAGGGGCACAGGTGGGTAACTCGTAAGAATCTCCCTTGGAAGAGGGGCACAGGTGGGTAACTCGTAAGAATCTCCCTTGGAAGAGGGGCACAGGTGGGTAACTCGTAAGAATCTCCCTTGGAAGAGGGGCACGAGTGAGTAACTCGTAAGAACCTACCTTAGGAGGGAGGGCATAGGTGAGTAACTCGTAAGAACTTGCCCTTGGGAAGGAGACACGAGTGAGTAACTCGTAAAAATTACTCGTAAGAACCGAGTTAACCGAGTAACTTGTAAAAACTTACTCAAATATAATAATTTTGAGAAGAAACAAAAAGATCTCAAGAGAAAACAAAATTATATATATATATATATAGAGAGAGAGAGAGGTTTTTGATTGAAGTATGGAAACGTAATAAATGATCAAATTTGAATAAGAAACATTAAAATACGCAAAGGTACAATAAATGGAAATCAAAGTAAGGTGGAGAAAAACATGGCAACGGCGGCCAATCCCGCAGGAACAAGCAATGCATTGGCATTGGCGTGGGATGCTTTCGTGGCGGCCGTTGGGGCTGCAGCCGGTGCTACATTTTGGGTCGGATCCAAACTCGTGTGAATGCCAAAAGTTTCAAGGTTAAACGGCAATGGGTCCGCACCAGAAGTGCCCTCCTTCAAACCCACTTGGACGTGCAGCTTCTGCCCAGCCTCACAATGCTTCCCAATTCCATCGAAGTAGTAGTAGTCCCCCGCCTCGGTCAGGTTCAGGATGGTCGGCCCTAGATAGTACATGTTTATCACATTCTCCTCACCACATACCTCGTAGTCAGCCTTCTTCACCGCCACTATGTTGTTCGCACCGGGCCGGTAAGGGAAAACTACAAAACACCAAAAACACATATTATGAATCACAACTCTCCGTAATGATACGATAGACACATGATTTAGAGACACATACCGAGCTTGTCTCCGACACCAAAAGTTCTAGGTTTAGCCCATTCATCGTAAAAGGTAACGTTATCGGGCACTCTCCAGCCATGGCTTGCGCCGACAATGTGAGTGAATGCATTCACCGATGATCCCATCATCATCATTATCGTCATGATCATCATAAAGTTGTCCATTTTGGTCCTCTCTCTTCAGAGATTAAGAGAGAGAGAGATCAGAGAGGGAGCTCAGAAATGAATGTTGTTTCTCCTCTAAATCAAAAGGGAACAAAAAGGAGAGAAATAGGCAAAGGGATTTAGTTTGTTCTTCTCCGTTAATGGTTGCTGCTTCTTTGTTTTGTTTGTTTTCATTGCTTGGCCTATTTTTTTTACCTCTTTTTTCACCAACATACCTATTTTAAGTATATCTTATTATTATTATTATTATTATTATTATTATTATTTTCCCTTTTTAATCTAACATTAATTACACAAAATTAGAGTTTTTAAATTGGTTTGTTAATCAACTTAATTTCCATCTCATCGCTCTACTTGTCTTATTAATTACCATTTAATATATTATTTTAGATTTTTAATGTTTAGGTTAAATTATAAATTTCGTAAATTATATTATTGGGTCGACATTTTTTCTTTTAAAATAAAAATAAATATTCTCATGGATTAATAATAAATTAAAATATCATTGGGTCTCTTTAAATTTTGTTATAGTCTTTTTTTTTATATATAAATATTATTATTATTTAAACATTTTTTAATCTCTAATAATTAAAAAGATTATTTTAGGTTTAATAAGTCTTTAAAAATTTTAAATTCAGATTTTAAAACTAAAACAAAATTGAAAACTTAGTAAATTTATTAACTTTAGCCAATATAATATTAAAAATTCAATAAGATATTTTTATAATTATTAGACACAAACATCTTGTGTAATTTTTTTAAAAAATATAAAATATATTTGGTACTATAATAAATAAAATCTGGACTAATATTATGTACGTTAATAACATTAAAGTTTTAGGGTCATTATACTAATTGATTTAATTTGTTTCATAATCATTTAAAATCTTAATTTCACACAATATATTAAAAAAGGTTTAATTTTGGTCGGAAAAATATAGTTAAAAATTCGTCTAATTTATTATTAATATATTTGGATGCATGCCACTGAGATTCCACTTGACAAATCAAATGCAACTTGTCTATTGCAAAAAAATAATAATAAATAAATAAAAATAAACATCAACTTTTTATATTTAGATCTAAAAAAAATGGTTAGAATCTTATAGATCTTACTATTTGTCCTTTTATATGAATATAATATTCTAGATGCAAATTGAAAATTTGAAAAGACTTTTTAAGCTATTTCTTTACAAAAATGAGAATTTAAATTTTCGATCTCCCTAATTACGATTAGGATTGAGCTAGTTCTCCCTAATTACGATTAGGATTGAGCTATACGCGTGTTCTCCCTAATTACGATTAGGATTGAGCTATACGCGTGTTCTCCCTAATTACAATTAGGATCGAGCTATACCGTGTTCTCCCTAATTACAATTAGGATCGAGCTATACCGTGTTCTCCCTAATTACAATTAGGATCGAGCTATACCGTGTTCTCCCTAATTACAATTAGGATCGAGCTATACCGTGTTCTCCCTAATTACAATTAGGATCGAGCTATACCGTGTTCGTGTTAATTACAACTATTTTCACTAAAATTCAAATATGAGAGAGATAAAAGAAGGAGAAGAAACATGAAAAGGGAGCCAGGAGTCGCATTCAAACTCAGGACACTGTACACAGCAATACAAGACCACACCAACTGACTTTCATCGTTATAAATAAGAACAAAACAGAAACACCAAAGGAACTGCTACAATATGCAAAAGAATCCAAATCCCTCAAGACCCATTTGCATTTCTAACTAAATTCTCTTCCTCTTTGATCAAAAGAGGTTCCAAAGGAACTACAATATGCAAAAATAAGAAAAAAAGTCCAGTCCCCTCAAACCCCACTTTTGCATTTCTAACTAAATTCCCTTCCCTTTTGATCAAAAGAGGTTCTCTCCAAATGCTTGATACAGTCTTTTAGAAGCTGTTGGATAAGTCAGCGTTGTGGATGAGATATGTGAGTGCCAATGCCACCAACATCAACACATAAGCTATCCCTTGGTCTATGGATGTCCCTGTGCATTGACGTTTTAAAGATACCAATTAAGTTCACTAAGAAATCTATGAATTTCAACCCTAATTCCTTAGGATTTTGCATTTCAAAGAACTATTTAAAATGAATTTCTGAGGATAAGACATCAAGACCAAACACCTTTGTTCTCAAAGGTAACGTAATAGTAGTCAGGCCAACCAAATAGCAAACAGAATTACTTTTCATAATCATGGCAATAGGTTTAATTACACTCGCAAATTAATAGTTTATAGAAACTATAAGATAACTTTATGCCGTTGTTACGAATACAAGAAAATAGCTTCTGTATTATTTGTCATTTCTAACATTTGGTCCACAAATTGATGCTAATGAACTCTCGCAAAATTGAGAATACACATACGTGTAGGAAAATAGATCCACCAAGGCTTGAACAAACAATCAAAACTAAAGGGGAAAAAAAGTGAAGATTTGCGCTTAATATCTTTAATCACAATTCACCAAGAAACGGAAACCGAAACGATGTTTTGGTAACTCAGAAACTGAAACTCTCAAAATAATCCGGAAACAAAGAAGAAACGGAAACCGAAACAATGTTTTGGTAACTCAGAAACTGAAACTCTCAAAATAATCCGGAAACAAAGAATAAACAAACAAAACTAATTTCAAGCCAGAGATCAACAGTCCACACAGATCTAGAACAAAAATACAAAACAAAACTTAAAGAAATAGAAATTAAGAAGAGAACTAACCGTCGCTGGTGGGAGCGGGTGCCGGAGCCAAGGACTGAGGCTGAGCAACCGGCAAGAAGATGGCAAAGATGAGCGCAGCGGCAGCCACAAATCCAAAAGACGTCCTGGAAACCGCCATTTGACTCCGAATCCGAATCGTGCTGTGATTTTCTCCTCTCCTTTCTTCAGGCGATGAATCGCAAGAAATGTAGTACCGAGGCTCGATCTCTCTCTGCGATGCGTCTCTCAGATCGAGAGGCTTTCAGTGCCTTCTTCTTCAATGGCTTCAAAGAGGCTCGCAGAGAGAGAGAGAGAGAGAGAGAGAAAGGAATCTCCCTTTCCCTCCTCGAAGGGCGAAATGGAGAAGACGATTAAGAGAAATCTCTGAACGGTACAGAGGCAGTTCAGCGATGGAGGACGGGGGAATCCAAATCTCCAATGCAGTATCATTTTATAGGGTAAATTATTTATTTTTTTATTTTATTTTTAAATTATTATTATTTTTTAATCCATTTATATACGTTTTAGCAATATTATATTTTTTTTCCTTAAATTAAACGTAACTGGATTAATTCAGTTTTATATATATTAATGTTTGATAAGTTCACAAATTTAAATCTTTATACACACATATGGTAAATTAAAAAACGACAAAAATTAAATAAAATATTTTATTACAAAATTTTCTATTTTTAAAAAATAAATTAAAATCGCACCTACCAAATAAATTAATATTTCATTGTGTCGTTTAATAATTGTAATGTGCAAAATAGTAGCCACCAATTGGGACTGTCTCACTAAAACACGTATGAATAGAACTACAACTCGCTAGACATGTCCGTGCACACCTATTTAACTCGACGCTGCTTCAAATCTAATATTATGCGAGTGTCAGAGTGCAAATGATCGAGCACCACAAGTACAATATTTTGCAATAGGTCAAGTTCGGCTGCAGAGACTCCATGTCGTCTATATATATATATATATATATATATATATATATAAATTTTGTATAATTAGGAAAAGAAATTAAATAGATGGATAAAATAGATAAAATGAGAATATTAATTAGAAGGAACTTTATTTAGTATATATTTTTAATAGATGGATAAAATAGATAAAATGAGAATATTAATTAGAAGGAACTTTATTTAGTATATATTTTTATTATTTATAATTTTAAAAAACTGGTTAAATGAAATTATGGAAATATGAGTGAGAGAGATAACCGGGAAAGCCGGTAAACAGGAAAAGTCGTGAAGGTTTACGACCGTTATGCGAAAGTGGGGCCCACTGGCCACTAGCATGCTTCCTGGTCACTGTTTCCTTCTGCACATGCCACCCATGCCGTATTTGACAGTCTATTATTTGCCTCTTTTTTTTTTTTTTTTTTATTTAAGGGATTGACTATTTAAAAATTAGTAGTTTTTTAAAATTTAATATTTGATTATTTTTCTTTCACCTAAATTGGTAATCAATTAATTTGTCACGCATTTCAACGAAATGACACGATGAATAATTCAAACATTTATTGATGCTTGTATGTTACAAATAACCATCCAATTTATGGCATACTTTTCTCAAATTTAAATACACATATTTAGTATTTAAATTTATTAAATTCATATCATAAACCTATCGTATTACATATTAATTTAATCACATACGTTTTAATCAAATAAATTGTATGACGTATTAAACTATTAAATTAAAAATCAAACGTCAGAAATTCTACCATTTTTTTCAAACGTTTCGAACGCGTTTTTCTTCTTCTTCTTTCTATCCTCGTTTACTTAATAGTCAGTTCTTGAGTGGTTGAATCTCGTGCTCTCTCTCTATTTCCTTCGACTCTTTATATGTTTTATTTTTTTATGCAGGTTCAACTTCAACCTTATCCTACTGGAACGTGAATTCAAAATAGATACTTTACTCATAAACTTAACAATGAATCTAAACAGACATGCAGAAAAAATAAGAAGAAACTCGTGTGAAATGGAGTTTGGTTTTATGAAGAGACAAATTGTGGTAATGAGAGTTGCATGAACGTCGTGAACTATGGAACCAAAGAGTCGTCCGAAGTTAAATTCAATGGGCCTCTTTTAAGAGCCCAGTCTCTCGAGTTGATTATGATCTTCAAGCTCTTTTTTTTAAGCACAATTTGAACTTCTAACTTTAGTAAGAATATAAGTTGTTAGAGTATCTCGTAGACCTAACAAGATGGAGAATTGCTGGGATTATATTTGTGATATCCCATTAGTTGGAGAGGAGAACAAAACACCCCTTATAATGGTGTGTGGAAACCTTCCCATAGACGTTTTAAAGACTTGAAGGGAGGAAAAAGCCTTAAAAAGGACAATATTTGCGAGCGGTGGATCTGTATTATTACTATATTTTACGACCCTGCCTTGCAACAAAGTGTAATATTTTAATTTATTTTTCTTTTTAAACAATATTCATTAAAAAGTTAAATATCCCTTAAAGCTCCTAAATTATATATTTGTCTCATCCAAAAAAATATTTTATTTTCCTAAAATATAAAATCAGGAAAAAAAAAACAATAACTATTTATTCCCAAAATATCGTATCGCGTTTGTTTGACGATAAAATGGGCGAGATCCGAGTCATTGACTTTGTTCGTAAATTGTATTAAAAGCGGAGGGCAAATGAGCGAAAGAAGCGCCAAACTTTGCATCTCCCCGGAAAGACAGAATTAGATCGTTTTCCGCCTTTATTTAAGTTCTATTTTATGTTTTCTTTTCTTTTCTTTTTTTTCCTATTTTTATTTAAAAAAAAAATCTTCTTTTTCTTTTTCCTTTACAGATCCAGTAGGTCACAGGCTCGAATCAAATCCCAGGTAATTCAATTTCTATTTCTTCTTTATCAAATCTGCATTTTTTTTTTCGTTCTTCAATGGCTCGATAAACAAATTTGAAGGTTGAATCGAAATTCGACGAGAATGAATCTAAGGTCAAGGAATCGTAGGAGAATTTCTTTATTTATTTTTCGAGAATCGTTCGTTCAATTTTCTTAGCAACGAAACACGATCGTAACCCAGTTTTCCATTTTTTATTTTGATTGTTTTTTCGTATTAACCTCTTCCTTTTTTAGTTTCAAACTCATTTATTTATGTAAAATTAATAATGGGAATTATTGAAAAATATTATTGGTTAGATGGGAAAAAGGTTCTATGTTTTTAACTATTAAATAAATTGTCAATTCTCCGTATTTATTGATCAATAATTTTTCTTCTTGCTAACGACATCGTTTTCACTTATTTTTAATATATATATATATTATTTTACGAAAATACATGTTTTAAAATTTTGAGAGAAAGTTCGAAAGGTCAAAAAGAATAATATCTGCTAGCCATGGACTTGGTTACAAATTTGATATGTATGGAGTTTAGGATATTGAATCATCCGAGTCGAAAATATATGACATGTTTTTTTTTAATATTTTAAAAAAAGATATATTTTCTGTGGCGACGAGGATGGACACCTAGTACCTACTACGAAGTTTAAAGTACATTAAAAAAAAAAATTAATGCATCAAATAAGTCGCTATTATGATATTTATTTGAGTAGATTGAATTTTTTTAAGGCAAAATCAAAAAATTAATACAACTTATTTAGCTTAATATTATTTTTAAATCAATATTTTGTAATTGTGATGGAAAATTAGGGTTTAGTTTTTGAAGAGATGGTGAAACATCGGGTGCGAAAAGGATTAACAGAGTGCAGTGGGATTGATCCAAAAACGGATGAAATTGCGGAGCAGCAGAAGATGACTAAAGCAGGTGTGTTTTTTTTAATGATATCTAGCTGTTTTATTTTTTAAATGTCTCTGGTTTGTTACGTTATATTGTTCTATTTTTAGAAATGGAACAAAAGATGTCGAGAATCTTGAAGCTAATGAAGAACAAAGATAAAAGTAGAGTGCTGAGAGAGTCGAAGAAGGAAACGGAAGTTGTTGGTTTAGTTGAAGATCTATACAAGAATTATCAGTCTATTTATGATCAATATGGTCATCTACGAGATGAAGCGGAAAGAATTGTTAAATCTGAAAAAGAAAATGAAGAGGATAAGGACGATGTTTGTTCTTCATCTTTAAGCTCTAGTTCTGACTCTGATTCGGAGTACTTTTCGTCGGAGGAAGTAAATACCACTTGCAGTGTTCATAATTTACAGAATGAACAGGCGAGTAACTGGTATGTTCAAATTCAAACTGAGGAACTCGAAAAGCAAATTGTTCAAAAGAACGAAGCCTTGGCTAAGGTTGATTTTCTGCATCGGGAATTAGACAGTGTACGAACGCAGAAACGCGAAATGGAAAATCGGAAGAACAAGGAGATATCTGAAAATATGGCTTTGATAGGAAATTTGAAAGAAGAATTGGTCGAAAAGATTGGAGTTGAAAAGAAGATGCTGGAAGAGAAAGAGAGAGTTCTTGCTCGGAGTAAGGATCTGGAAACGGAAATAGACACTTTGCATTATCGAAGAAGGGAAATAGAAGAACAGAATATTCGGATGAGATCAGAAAATCAGTGGCTGAACACTAAAATTTCTGAACTGGAGATGGCATTGACGAGTAAAGAGACGGAAGCTTCTTCTCAGACGATTGCGTTAATGGAGCAAGTCAAGAATCTGAAACATACAATAAACGGATTGCAGACTGAAAAAACCAAATTAGGGCAAGAAATGGAGCAATATAAACAAGAAGTTTCTCACCGATTTTCGAAAATGGAGGAGGAAAACAAGAAATTGAGAACCAAAATTGTCGACCAGGAAACAATCCTAAAGGAAAAAGAGGAAAGAATAATTAAATTCAACGAGAAATACAAGAAAGCGAAGAGCTGCTTACCTGACGTTGCTTCGAGCCTGATAAACACAGAGAGGAAGATGGAAGAATTAGCAGAGGATCTCCGTTGCGGCCTGGAAGATAAAATCCGTTTACTGTCGCAGAGGATCCTCGTTGCAGAGCAGCTACACAACGAAAGCAGAGAAAATTTCAGAGTGAAAAACAAAAGACACGAGCAAGAGAAAAGACATTTCGAACAAAAAATCGAAAAACACGAAGAGGAACTGATGAAACTCAGTAATGTGAACGAATTCGGAATGGACAGAGTAGCAAGAAGATTCGAAGAAGAGAGCGTCAAACTTCTAAATCACATATTATGGATTACAAAGGAGATCACGTTCGCAAAATACTGGGTTAGAACGAGAAATAACGAGTTAAAACAACTGAAAATCAATATGACTCGATTCGTGGCTCAGATGGAAGAAAAAGAAGAACAAGAGTTCCTGTTAAGAGAGAAACTATGGAATCTCGAGGCGAAAATAAGCAAAGAGGGCGGAGAGAAACTGAATCTGATCAGAACCCTCGGGCAATTCGAGAAGAAGATGACAAAA